GGGTGGGGGGGCATTTATCTCTACATGTGGAGTTATGAGTAAAATATTTCCCTTTCCTGGGAAAATGCACCAAATCATCCAGCTGTGATGTGACTTGATACTGTATCTTTACTTGGTACAATGATAGGGTGATTCTTAAAAGTCATGACATTTTGGTTGCAGATTCTAGAGTTTAAATAGAATTGGAAGTGTGGGAAAGATGGAAAGGGGATAATAAGTTATAAGCCCTTGACAGGAGAAACTGCATAGGGTGTTATCATTTGAGTGGCATATAAAAATGGACATCTTCTTTTTTCTAATTAAAAAAAATTTTTTAGATTTAAACTTTTTATTTGAAGATGTTGATGGGGTAGTGGGTTGATATAAGCCACATCCTTTTATGCTGTACCAGACATTGGTCTTAGAAACCATGATAACCGGTTAAATAGTTGTGGCTTATTACATTGATATTTCAGGTTTTCTTCCCCTCGGATCTCAGTCTACGGATGCCTGGCATGAATTCAGAGGACTATGTTTTTGACAGTGTTTCTGGGTAATAGTTGTCTTTTAATTTGATTTTTAATTTGCAGTTTTTATGGCTTACTTCTTTTTTGTTACCTTGATAAATCAGAGGTGGCTTTAGCAGGCTTTCACCTTTCTTGCCTCATTTACTATGGTGATATCACTGGTAGAGGATAGCTGCTTCGGTGCATTTAATTTTGACCTCTTTGAACTGTGTTTCAAGTTTCCTTAATTCTTGGTGTTGGTGCCTTTTCTTTGGTTTCTGTATGTGGTGGTAGTAGAATGAACTCTAACAGGAGGGATGAGGAGATTAAATTAGATCTCTGAGGTCCTTTCTATTTCCAAAAGTATATAATTAGGTGAGAATTTAGGGATAATAACAAGTGGATAAAATCTTTTTTATTGGTCTCATTAGCGATAAAATAAATGTAGTTGACTTTTTTCTGACTTGACAACTTTTTTTTGACCTCACAAAATTATATTTCATTCTGGGAAATGAATATTTTTCAAGCTAATTAGGAATGTATATAAACAACTTTGTATTTTTGAACAAGAATCTAAGGTTTCATTTTGTAATTTTGTTTTATGTGTGTTTTACTTGTTATATTTTGTGATAATTTTTTATAAGTCTAGGATTTTAGGGGAATGGAGACTTCCCTTGTAGATCTGCCTCAAGATGCAAGAGTCACAAACTGAAAGGCCTTTAGGGTTTAAGACAGGGGTTGGCACGCTTTTGCTGTAAAAGGCCAGATAGTAAGTATTTTAGGCTTTGTGGGCTGTACGGCCTCTGTATGTTTTTACAACTACCCAACTCTGCCATTATAGTGCAAAAGCAGCCATCAATAATATGTAAACAAATCATGTGACTGTCTGCTATTAAAACTTTTTTTATAAAAATAGTATAATCTGCTGACCCCTGGCCTAGAAAGATTATTAAATAACTCTAGGGGCATATATGAGTGGTGGTGTTAGGTAACAGATAATGTAGAGAATTGTAGCATGCCTATGTAAAGACATTTAAATTACAAGTCAAAACAAAAAAAGTGCTGTGCAGGTCGAATGGAATTTAATCAGAGGACTACCTGTTCCTCTGCTGGATAAACACCAGACTGGCAGCTTGTCTTATGAGGGGTTCCTTCCAAAGTCCTTTTCACTTATCAGTGAAATATTCTTAGCCATGGAACATCTAATTGTAAACATCCCTCACATCATAGAATTTCTTCTTTTGATTTCATTTTTATTTTTTAAATTATAAAGATGTGGGGTACAATTCAGGGTTAGGAATACAAACGTTGATTATGCAGGTACCCTTGTTGATGAGGTCTGCCCCGCCGTCCCCTCGCAGTTTCCCCTCAACTGCCAATCCCATACCCCCATAGAATTTCTAGTAGGCAATATTGTATACCACATCTGAGAGATTTGAGGTTTTCTAGCTGCCAGGCACTTTTATTTCAGATTCTTATTTATCATGAAAAAGGCAGCAGATGCTATTTAGAATATGACATACAGGAAGCTTCCAAGAGAGTGGATTAGAGATCTATGACTTTTTTGTCCTTTAGGAACAACTTTGAATATACCCTAGAAGCATCAAAATCTCTTCGACAGAAGCCAGGAGATAGCACCATGACATACCTAAACAAAGGCCAGTTCTATCCTGTCACCTTAAAGGAGGTGAGCAGTAATGAAGGAATCCATCACCCCATCAGCAAAGTTCGAGTAAGTTCTGCCCTTCATCCTGTCCTCTAGGAAAGCAAGTCAGGTCTGAAGTTGATCTGAATAAAGACCTAAAATTGCAATTAAGCCTTCACTGTAAAACATGATATTGTGTACGTTTTCCAAAAGATACTCACCCTTTAGTGCCTTTATGCTGTAATGCTTCTCTTTCATAGAGTGTGATCATGGTGGTTTTTGCTGAAGACAAAAGCCGAGAAGATCAGTTAAGGCATTGGAAGTACTGGCACTCCCGGCAGCATACTGCGAAACAAAGATGCATTGACATAGGTAAGTGGCTCAAGAGTCTGCTTTTATTCCCAGAGGTGCACACATCCAGTTTTCTAAATCCAATTATTTTTGGCAGTGATCTGCTTCCTGCCGAAAACATTTGCATTTTTATGCCAGCTACTGATCTGTTCCAAATACTGCCCTTGGCCTCCTGGAACCAGTGCTCTCCCCATTACTCCCATTCTGTAATGGGACACACACCCAGAAGCCATGTAGCCAGCTAAACTGTCTCCCTTTCAGTCTGCAGTTTTTTTGTTTTTTTGTTTTTTTTTTTAGGGTAATGTCTTTTTTAAAGAGATTCTGATTATTTGGAGATGATGATAAGGTAGAGGAAAAAACAAGTAAAAGACAGTATTGTTGATGTGCAGTTGCCTAACAATCTTCCCTAGTTATGCTGAACTGTGTTGCTCGTCTCTGAAATGCCTGGAAATAAACCCAGCGATTCATCACTTGGGGTGTCACAGCAAATCCGTGCAAATCCATATTTACTGAAGTAGCTTTACAAAGACCTCTGCTCTTGCCATGTGTATAATTTTCATATAAACCATTGTCCATCTCACAAGTGGCTGTTAATGTTAGTGCTACTTTTTCTTTTTACCTTTTTGTAATGCTCCTGTTCTCTTTTCAGAAGAGTTGAAATAATTGAGTTCTAATCTTGGTTCTGGCGGACTAGTTTGTTGACCTTGGGACTATTCTTTAATCTTTTTAGACTGAGTTGTCCTAATTTTGACATAATGAGATTGAAATAAGTACATCTAAACTTGACTCTATGACATAAATTCTGTGATCCTTTTTCATTTTTTGAACTTATTTTAATCTGACAAAATATTATGTCATGTTATTTCATGTTGTTTTTGAGTCAGAGTCTTACTTTGTCCCCCAGGTGGGAGTTGCAGTGGCATGCTCATGGCTATTGCAGCCTCAGCCTGCTGGACTCAGGCAGTCTTTCTGCCTCAGCCTTCCAAGTAGCTGGAACCACAGGCATGCGCCGCCATACCCATCTAATTTTTTGACTTATTGTAGAGATGAGGTCTTGCCAAGTTGCCCAGGCTGATCTGAAACCCCTGGGGTCAGGCACTCCTCTGACCTCAACCTCCCAAAGTTCTGGGAAGCCATCACACCTGGCCTCAAAACATTATTCTAAATTGTCCAGAGGGGATAACATGAAAAACTGAATCTTACTTTGAACTGCTGTAATCTCATGATGAAACTAAAACTCATGAGTTTTTTCCTGTCATCACCTCATACAGCTGACTATAAAGAAAGCTTCAATACCATCAGTAACATTGAGGAGATTGCTTATAATGCCATTTCGTTCACTTGGGACATCAATGATGAAGCAAAGGTAGGAAATAAAGCTCGGGGGCTTGGGTTTTCATTCTCAGGTGTTATGAAACTATGCTTTTCCCCTTTCTGTCCTCCCCCTCCTTCAAACAGTTCCTTTGTATTGGCATCCTTCATGCAGAGTCTGGTCCATGAAACATTAGAATTAAGTTGTGCTCTTCCACTTCTCATTGTGTGACCTTGAGTCTGACTCCTTGTTCATTTTGCTTCGTTTTCTCCTTTGCAAAGTGGAGTTAATACCTGTCTCCTCCCTCCATTCTAGGATGATGTCAGGATTAGTGAACAGTGCCCATCAAACTGTTGGAGTTTCTTTGAAAAAGGCTCTTAAATACATGTTCTCACTAGCAATACTCTATTTCATGTTGTTACAACTCAGTGCTGAGACTCTTCTTTCTTGGGTTCTTACAACTGAAGAATTGCCTCCAATTTAGGTGGTCATTTGGATAATTCTAGTTGGAGTTTTTAGTACCCTTTAAGAAAAATTAAGCATATTTTTAAGTCCTTTCTGCCTTTCCCACTGCATTTTTCTCTTTCAATGCAATCCCTCTCTTCACTAAATTATTAGCGTTCTGGTATTGCTTTCTTTCTCCAGATTAATTTAAAAATTGAGAGTTCAAGAAACACAGTAGAAACATTTTTTTTTTTTTTGAACAGTTGTTAAAATCAGTTTGAGCCGGGCTTGGTGGCTCAGCCTGTAATCCCGCGCCTTTGGGAGGCTGAGGTGAGTGGATTGCCTGAGCCTCAGGTTCGAGACCCACCTGGGCAGCGAGACCTCATCTCAACAATAAAATCACAAAATCAGCTGGGCGTGGTAGCGCATGCCTGTAATTCCGGCTACTTGGAAGGCTGAGGCAGAAGGATCGCCGGAACCCAGCAGGTCGAGGCTGTGGTGGCCGGGAGCGGCCACTGCACTCCAGTCTGGGCGACAGAGTGAGACTCCAACTCAAAAAAAAAAAAAAAAAAATCAGTTTGATCTTTAGTTTTTGTTGCAGTGTTAGGGATAGTGACCTGATACAAAGTGATGCTCACCTTCCTTTTTCAGCCTCTCCTTTTTACTTTTTCTCTGTTTAACAAGAATTTTAGTAACCTATGGAGTAAGGCACCATATTAGGTGCTGAGGATTAGGGTTTCATTTTATACTGCCCAAGATTGCTTTGACTTCTTGAGAGCCGTGTTAAGATTATATTATAATTGCTTTCCTTTCTTGTTATGGTCATCGTGTCCGAAGGAGAAGCATGCCTTGAAACTGAAGAATATAGTCGATTGGGCCCCCTGGCTGTAAGGAAGCTTAGGTGATTGCAACTGTTTGAGGATTTTCATGCGACCACCTGGGTCATACACAAGTGTCAGCTGGCTGCTTAGTCCAGAGTTTAGCACTCTGTTAAGCAATGAATAAGCAAACCTTCCATTTTATGTCATCGTTGTTACAGTTATGTGGAAATTAAATATCATAATAGGACTCAGTGTGCTGGCTGCTAAGGAAAACCTACAAGAAGTGTTGGCCCTGGGTGCGTCTGTTCTTAAAGCAAACTGGAGAAATACTTCCTATTTGCCACTAGGGACTAACTGAGAAATTATGGAAGAGGTGACAAAGAGCCCATAAGTCCTGAATTCGCTTTTCTGACTTATCCATGACCTTGGGTTAGCCCTTTACTTCACTAGCTCATTTTTTCCCCTTCATTCCCCTAAAAAAATTACAAGGCTATAGTGACCAATTCTTTGCTCTGTTGGGGTGTGGTCAGGATTAATAAGCACTTGTCAAAGACTTGGAGATCTTGGCTGAAAGGCTAGCGTATGGGTAGGGTGCTTTGTTTGTTTGATGTGTCACTCTTTAGGGTGGGAGTAATGAAAGCCGAGATGACGGTAGGGATAATGGCTTGTTTTATTCTAAAGGCCTACAGCATATTTGTATTAGGGAGAAATATTGTTGGAGGAGTGGCTTAAGTAGCCTTAAGAGCATTGCTAATTGATGTAGGTAAATTCAGTTTTGTTTCCCCTTCCAGACCCCCAGCACTGATAAGATTTTAAGTCTTCATCTGCTACCGGAAGGGTGTTAGGCCATTTCTTAATGAGGCTGCTGCCTTTTGAAGCTGATATCAGGCATCAACTTAAAGTGTGTGTTGCAATTAAGTATCTAGATATTTTGCTTTTCCTGGCCAAGTTGATGTTTTCTGTTTTTATACTTAAAGTAATTAATGCCCCAGGGCAAGTAGGATGAACAAGTGTACATGCAGAATCCTGTGTAGTTGGGATTTTTTAACTACTGTCTTCTGAAAATACCTTCTTTCTTTGCCCACTTTCTTGTTATCATTTACTTTGTTGATTCTCTCTTTAAAAAAATTTTTTTAAAGGTATAATTGGCACATAATAATTGTACATATTTTGGGGGAGTTTGTTGATTCTTAATTCCAGTTCCTTCATAAGGAACTTAAGGGTTTATTGGAGCTGTGTGGTATTTCTTCCTCTCCCTCCCTTCTTAATGATATCAGATATACCCTTTTGGCCTTGCCAGGATGAGTAAAACCAGAATTCTGGCCCGTTGTCAACATCTGATTCTTACCTGTAGCTTCTGCTTCTCACTTTGGAGGTGACAATATTTTGAGGACACATCAGTTTGAATCTTGGCTTATGTTCTACTTTGGGGAAAAACACTGCCCAAGCTAAGACTCATCTCATAATTCCCTGTGTACACTCAGTTCATCAGCACAAACACATGCCTGTCATCGCCATGAGAACTTTAAGAAGTTGGGGAACTTGTAAAAAAATCATTAATTTTCAAAGTAGTGGGGGGAAAGGAAATTGCTTTGAAAAGCCAAAATGTCTTAGAAACTTTCCCTCAGGGGGCACTGCTCTGTCTGTTATATAGACCTGTTTTATTCATTTTGCTGTATTTCCACAAAACGAGAGAGATTTGTTTGGATAGTCAGGTTTCTTTTACAGAGTCAGAAATCTCTGGACAGGTTAAAGTTTATCAGACTTTTGCATTTCATTAAGGAATAACTTAATCAGATTTCTTCTCTTCTGATATACAGCCAAGATCGGCTGCTTGAGGTGATTCTGGCAGGGAGAAGAAGCAGTTGCCTTTGAAACATTAAAAGATGGAGCTCTGGTAAGGTGCCAAAGTTTAGGATTTATAGATCAAGCTAAAAGGGCACTGGTCACCTGGAGAAGAGAGGACTAGGAGATGGGTGAGAGGTGGGACAAAGATAGGCACAAACTCTACTCTAGCAATATTTTCTTTGGAGCCAGCAGTGCAGAACTTTATCCAGCAGGTATCTGAGTGCCTGTTGTGGACAAGGCAAGGGCTAGATCCAGGCTCTGACACTAATACTGCAGGTCAGGTAGACTGTGGGTTAGGTGGGCTTTGTGGGATAGCCTGAGATCTTAAATATAGCGTCATGTTTTCTTAGGAAAAATGTGTTTATACTACTTTACAAATGAACTTTGGGAACACAAATAAATTATAAATTGAGGCTGTCTGTTCTATAACAGTTTCAGTATTTTCTAAACCAGGTAGGTTTAGAACAAGCTGTACATATTGGCCTAGAGTTTAATTTCTTGCTTGGGTTGTAAACCTTAAGCGTTTACAACAGCATTGAGATCTGATTAGTGATATGAAGTAAGGACCTCTCAAAGCCTGAAGATCTAAAATAAATAGAAGAAAAAGAAGTTAGAGAGAAAGAATGAACGTCTTTGACTGCTGTTATGTGCTAGGCCTGTGCTAAGGTATCTTACACGTGCTCGTGTTTAATGAGGCAGTGCTGCCTACCCAGTACCCATAAAAAAATCACTTCATCTTCCAGATGATTATGTAAGGTTTCTGCTTGGTCATCAAAATGATGACCTCTGAGGAGGCAAGACTCCAGATTTTGAAATGGATAGAAAGTGTTCTTGACGGGAGATTATTTTAAAGTGTAAGTATTCATGTTAGTAGAGCAACATCATGGACTAACGAATATAAATTAGAGCACCTTTGTTATGAAGAAATAATTTGTGTTGCTTGTTGGATGAGTAATGTTTAAGTGTAGAGGAATGGAAATTATCAATCAAAAAGCAGTTGCATTGGAATACAGTGAAAACTGCGCCTGCCAACTACAGAGGGAGCCCTGTAATCCAGGGAAACACTCAAGGAAGGGGTGTGTATGGGTGGCATAGGGGCATCTTTGATAGAATTAACTAGACAGTATGGCAAAGAAGAAAACAGCTATGGTTCAAAGCATAGCTCAAGGTTTCATCCATCGTCTATATGTGGATAGGATCTGTATGAATATTAAGCAGACTTTTAAAGGATCTAATAGATCCCAGGGACACACAAATATCTCATAAGTTTTTCTAGCAGTGACATCTAAATCCTAACACTATAAGATGGATTATGTTGCAGCTACAGTTCACACATTTCATTTTTAAAATATGAACAGCAAAGAACTTCTTGTCAGACATGATGTCAAAGAGGTAGGTAGATGTAGAGTCTGCCTGATTTGATTTTACTTTATTGTATGTTTCATGGCTTAAAACACCCTGAAGATTTGGGTATTTCCCCTGCGGTGCTGTTTTGGGAACCTGATTGCTTTTTGTAAGTCTTCATCAAACCTTCAGAAGAAATCTCTTCATTTCATTTGTGGTCAGGTTGTTCGTAGACAGATGAAGCGGCAACTTTTTCTTAATAGTGTGATCTTATCTCTGAGTGTGACAGAGCTAATTTCAACACACTTTTGTCTCTTCCCAGTTCAGCCCTTGTCCATTGTTTTTTCCTTCAGTGTGGTACCCCAGCCTGTGGAGAAGGGGAGCTGGCAGTCAGAGGCAGGACAAAATCAGAGCATCCTGTTCCCTGGAGGAAGAAAACCCTGTCAAATAAGACTTTGTGCTTTTACTTGTAATTATAATCTGTCAGCTATAAGAAGAAACTCTGAGGAATTTGGAAGTGTGTTGTCCTTCAGAACCAGAGGGTTTATGTCATGGCAAGGCTCAAGTTAAAAAGGAAAGAGGATTAAAATAGAATTT